GGGCGCTGGCGAGCTCTGGGGAACCTCCCCGCGGAGCCAAGCGGTGGAGACCGCTGCGAGGAGGCAGCGGACGCCTCCGGCTCTGGAAATGCGGGGCCGAGGCCGCAGGGACGCGCCTTCCCGCTCACACCGCCAGTCTGCCCGCCAAGGCCAGAAAGGAGTGAGCCAGGGAGTTGACTCAGCAAGAACAAGTCCTGCCAAGCCTCCCCTAGGAAAGGCCCCTAGTTCCTGAGGAAGCAGCGCCTTTCTCCCCTCTAGACTGGGGCCCTCCCTCCTGCCACCCTACTGCCATCTTGGCCTCTGTTGGAAAGGTTTGTCTTCCTCTCCGCAGCCACCACTGGGAGGGAGCACTGGCTCTCTGATGAGGGGCCGCTGTGGGAACTTGCCCAAGTCTCTAGCCCTGCCGGAGCCGCCAGGGCCCCATCAACCCTGGGGTCCTGTCACTGGGACCTTGGCAAATTCCCTCTAGATGTCCAGCTGCCAGAGGGCAGATGCAGTGTCCTTAACCTAAACATCCCCACAGCCACTGGGAGCTCCTGGAACACACTGACTAGTCACTCACCAAAGGGTGTTTACTGGGCAGTGGCCCTAGTGGGTGGCACCCTGATATTTCCTGGATGCAGGAGGTTCAAGGCCTCCACAACGGAAGCCAGCCCTGCATCTCCAGCCTTGTCCCCTCGCGAGGTCCTTCAAGAGGGCCAGGTGTGTGCCAATGTCCAGTTGTAAAACTAGGAAAACGCCCACTGGTTGGTGTCTGTAATCTTGCAACTAAGGAGTGGATGCCTGTGGTCACAGGGGCCCCCAGATTCTGCTGGGGCCAGCAGGCTGCAGAGGCTGAACAGCAAAGGCTCCTACAGTGTGATTCCTCACCATGCTGAATGTCACCAGTGGAAGCAGGGTGAGCCTTCTAAAGATGACAGTCCACCCATTGTGATGTAGCCATCCCCCACCTCCCACCCACACACCCTCCTAGCTTAGCTCTTCACCTGTACTCTCCTGCACTTTGAAACTCTCCCACTGGGGATTTTCCCAGTGGACCTGGAGAGCTTCCAGGCCCAAGCCTGGGCCGATCAATCTCAGGCTCACAGAAGAGTTTAAGATAAAATGCTTGGTTTATCAGATAAGATAATATTCTCTCTTTCCTACCAACCTATGTTCTCTGTGCCTCCTTCTTTTTTCTAGGCATCTTCCTTCCTGCAAGAACTCAGGAACTGTCCCTTCGCTAAAAGTATTCCTCTTGCAGCCCCAAATCTAGGTTCCATGTTTGGGACTCAGTAATTGATTGTGGAATGACGGGATGCCTTTAGATGGAATGTGATATCAACCATTCACCTTATAGTATAAACTGGTTTAAATGACACTCTCTCGGTAAAATTTAAATGGAAAGACTATTAGGTCATTGGTGATGAAAGTCTTAGTTCCGTACTAAAAGCTGTTCTCAAGAAGATATCGCAGGGTGCCCCCCACAACTGAATGAGTAGGCAATAGAACCTGGGTTCTGGCATTGCTAATCCATGCAACCCTGGGAGAACGGGGCATGTGTCAGAACACAACCAGAGGGATGGGGTTGCCGGGTTTTCGCTGTCTCTGAGTTGAGTGAGCCACAGGGATGGCTTGTGACAGACTCTAAGGCCAGCAGGGGCATTTCTGGTCCACCATAGCATGGACATGTGGCACCTTATGGCCCTCTCCAAGGACCTCGAGGCCGAAGTTGAAGGCCTGGCCTCTGTTGTGAGAGGACTTGAGCCCCTGCTAGCGAGGGCCTCCATTCAGAAGTGAACCTTTGTTCCAGAGTCATGTGAGGGTCGAGGCAGAGGAAAGCAGGACTGACTAGCTGTGGACAGACACAGACCCTGGCTGCACCACACGAGTGGGGAGGGGCCGGTGAGCCTCTGACTCGGACTTCCTGCTCACAAGGGACTAACCACCCTTCTAACGTGAGTTTCCAGAGAGCCTCCTGAGTGCTTGAAATAAAATCCACTTTGCTTGAGCTAGTTGTAGAAACCTACTACTGCTCTTTACCATCAGAATCCTCATTAGAACAATGTCCCAGAAATCACTTCACATAAGGCCAGGCATCTCCTGCCAGAGACATTAACGAATCCAATCTCCTGCCCATGGAAATGTTTTCCTAACATTTTGGGAAAGAAAGCATCACCTGCTCCCCATCCCCTCCTCCAGCCCCAGCACCCCCAGGAGGAAAGAAATGGGTCCAAGTTTCATCCTGACTGAAGTACAGATGTCTCCCTCCCCTTCCCTCCTTCTCCCTCCTCCTCCCCTCCCTCCTCCCACCCCCCCTCCCTTCCTCCCTTCCTTTCCTTTCAGTTGAAAATGTATTACCAGAAAAACGAGTTGTGGCCCAAATGTTTCCTTTTCTGAGAGTCCTGGTTGTATTTTGCTTCCGGGATGCTATTACTCTCTCCTTAGTGAACTGGCTGGCTGCACTGGGGCTCAACTTAAAGTCAAGTAAAGCAAATCAGTAAATTAGCATCTGAACTGGTCTGATTGGGGCCAGCCATAATCCCCTAATCCTGCAGCCAGGAGTTCTGCACCTGTTTGCCAAAGCACCCTTTAGAGAAACCAAATTGCAAGCAAATCCAAGACGGTCAAGATTCATGAGCAATTTTAGTTCCGAAGATGTCTTTTAAAAGGCAAAAACAGACAGATATGACAACCAGCCCTCACCTGGAAGTCTGGGAGTCACATCATGGTCAGGCACAGGAAGGGAGAAATCGAGAGGGTGAAGCCCCCATCAAGCCAGCCACACACCCACTGGGCCACATAATGGCCCGTTGCTCCCCCTGGCGACCACCGAGCTCAACCAAGCAAACACTTTTCTGCAAGGGAGAAACGGGCTCCCTGAACAACCCATAGAGGACAGAAGGTTCCAGAGCCAAGTAAATCCTCAGGATTTCCTCTAGGGACAGCCACGCTTCATGTTTGGTGTGAAGTCAGCATGTGTGGAGGAAACAGAAAAAGGAGAAAAGTCGTTGTGGACTGATTTCATGATTCAACAAAGGTTTGGAGGGGCACCCCGCTCTGGGGCCCTTTCCAGGGCCTTCTGCGCTGCCCCGTTTTCGTCCCTGTAAGTATCCTCATCACAGTTTTCGGAAGTTGTTGCTTTATTTGTTGTGTTTTCTAGGGATTCTCAACTCCTTGAAAGCACAGAATTTAGCGGAGTTGGTAAGAAAAGAAATTACCGAATAAAATATTATTGTTGCTATGATTTCTCATGGGGGAAATAATATGTCTCTTACCCACTATGACAGCATGTGAAAGGAAAAGTGATTTCTGTCGCAGGTTTCTGGGAGCCTGAAATGTTAGCCCACCCTTGGTTACTAAGACAGGGAAGCCAAT